GCCGCATCGTTTGACCGACGGTCCGACAATCGCCCACCAGTGAACCGGCCAGTGACCCCCTGCCCCAGCGGCAGCACACGCATCTGGCCTCGGCGCCGGCACAGGCGCTGCCAACTGCCCAGCTCGACAGGCGCATCTGTAACAGACACCGGCGCGACTACGGCGAGCGACCGATGGCCGTCTTTGAGCCGCTCCTTGAGCTGACGCGAAGGCTCAGCAATGCATGCGACCGCAACGACACTCCTGATCCATTCGCAGCTGACGTACGGCCGGTTTGGGTCAGAAATGCGCGCTTTCGTGCATGTGGGATTCCCGCTGCTTGTTGGAGCCTGCAGACGCCACCGGCGATCGGGTTACAGAACCTCTCGCGTGTCCTGCGGAAGCGGAGGGCAAGCGCCTCCCTCTCCCAGCATCCGGCACACGACCCTGGCCGTTCGCACGTGATGGTCGTGATGGTCGCCGACACCAGACTACCTCTCCCAGCGCCAGGCGTCGATGAACGGCCGCACCGCGATCCTGAGGCAGTTTTCGCCGGTACGCGCCGGTATGCGCCGGTATGCGGTGGTCCTGCGGCGGTCCTGCGGTAGTCCGGCTGGCGCTCCGGCTGGTCCAGCCGTTCGGCCCCGGGATCAGCACCACAGTCGACACGACTCGGAGCAGCGAGGCGGCGCCGTGGCCGAACGAGCGGGCGCGCGCTGAGCTCTCGCCTCCGGAGGGAGGGAGCAAGGAAAGGCAGAAGGAAAGATGGAGAGGGAGGGGTAGGGAGGAAGAAAACCCAGCATAATACCAAGCGAAAAATAGATCCAGCGTGCAGCGTTTCAAGCATTATATGCATTGTTTCTTTTTCTGAACAGGAACCGAACCACAGAGGATGCGTGACGTTACGACTTCCAGCGCACGTCAATGCCGACAAAGTAGTGCCTGCCACGCTAGCCAGCCGGCGGCCGCATGCTTTCATACACGCCAGACCCGCGCGGCCGCAGTCGTAAGGCCTGGCTGCACCGATCCATCCACCCGGCCGGCGGCCCGGCCGCCACCTGTATTCTCCAGCCGTCCATCGGCCACGGGCCATTGGCCGGCGACCGCTGCAGAGCGGGTGGCGATGACCGCCGGCCGGCCGCACACAAAGCGGCCACAAAGCCGGCGCGGCGAGCGGCCGTGATTTATCGTGAGGCGCCCGCCGCGCGGCCGCGCCCGGCCGGCGCCGCGCCACCCGCTCCAAGCGCAGCCCGCCGCCGGCCGCCCGCCATTGTAGCGGCCCGGGCCGCCCGCGAATAAACGGAGCCAACTGCGGCCGCCTATTGATTTTGGAGCGGCGGGCCGGCCGACTGCGGCCGTACCGACTGCGGCCGGCCCGGCCGGCGGCGGCGGCGGCGGCGGCGGCGGCGGCGGCCACCTGTCCCGGTCAGCACCAGGTCAGCGGGGGCCGGCGGCGCGGCCGGCGCGGCCAGACAGGCCCCGCTGTCGCGAGGGTGTCCAAAGCCAGAGCCGCGTTTGATGCTCGCGCCTCGTTCGACCCTGACCCCCCCCCCCCCCTCACTTCCGTGTCTTCAAGCTGTCGCTGCTGTCCGCAGGCCCTTTGTTAAACCCTGTTATTGGACACCAACGTGACGGGTCGTTGCTTTCTTTCGTGTTTGATTTGTGCACAAGGCTACTTGAAGCACGGCTCTGCGAATGGTCTAGAACAGTTCGTTACGCTCAGCTTTGCCAAGGCAATGTACTTGTAGACATTTTTAAGTACCCGCGTTTCAAGCATTTGAAACGTCCATTAGGATTTCATAGTTACCGTGGCAACAACAACAACCAAATTATTTGCAGCCTCAGAGTATACTACCCATTACATGCAGGATTCCGGCCAGAACAACCGATGGGAATTTCTACGTGACCAGCACGCAATTAGCAAACTCGCCTCGCGGTCCAACGAACCAAAAAGCACGGCCGGCAATGTGTAAGGATTAAAGGCACCATCATTACTTGACATCTGAAGCTCTAAAGCAGAAATTAGGCTCGCACGGACATGACATACCTAGTGAAATCCAGCCTAGTATCTAGTATCCAACTAGTAATCCAACTAGCATCCAGCCATGACACCATCTGCAGCTCTTTACCATCTCTTTAGCAGTTATTCTGGTAGTCGCAGTAGATATTGTGCATCAGAAGTGCTGCTGCCGCGGATGGTTACTGCGGTGTCTGCAGCATCCTTTAGCGTCTACCCTGACCTCTGATCTCTGACCTGGTAACCCGATGACACTCCCTGTCAGGGATGACCACGGAAAGAGGGGCTGCTGTGATGTCAACGGTTGCCTTCTAGCGCCGGTTCTATCTCGGAGCAAATGTCAAGCGATCATTTTCATGCAATGCCATCGGCGTAACGGGCAATTACGGGAAGTCCTGGGGCACATTCCTCCCCCCCCCCCCTCCCTTCCTTTGGCAGACCATACCTTATGCCTACCTTACGCCCCGCCGGCTTTAAACGCTCTTTCCAACGTGCACGACGAGTCACGCGCTCTAAGTGTGACATAGTTTGCTTCTCTAATTAAAAGCGGGTTGGCGAGGAGGGGGTCGACAGCGGACAAGTCCCGTGTTTCAGCCCAAACAACCCGAGTGACCATAAAAATGTTGTCCATTGACAGTGCGCGCCCAAGCCTGCGGAGCCTCGTAAAAATAATTGAGGTCGACAACCAGCTGTTTCCAAACACATATCGACGCTTTCCCGCTTGTACGCCCTTTTTGCAGATTTGCGATGATTTCATCAAACAACTAACCAGACAGAGACAAACAGTGGGGATTAGGGGGGGGGGGGGGGAAGGCCAGGGAACCTCCAAAGAGCTGCACAGCTCTATTCACAATCCAAGCTGCATCTGCTCACATTTCGGCATCAGACGGATCGGCAATTTCACCCTAGATGACGGTATGATCGCGACCAGCTCCCACCGAGGAAGTGCTCAGCGGTCCCCAGTCCCGGCGATTCAGGAGAAACCGGGACGTTGGCTGTAAGACCACCTGGCTCAGGATATATGGCCGCAGAACAAGTGGTATCGCAGCCGTTAGAGCATCGCGGCAGCTAGAGTATCGTAGCTGCTAGAGCATCGCGCCCGCCAGAGCATCGCGGCCGCTAGAGCGCCGCTAGAGTATCGCGGCCGCTAGAGTATCGCGGCCGCTAGAGCATCGCGGCCGCTAGAGCATAGCGGCCGCTAGAGCGCCGCTAGAGCATCGCGGCCGCTAGAGCGCCGCTAGAGCATCGCGGCCGCTAGAGCATAGCGGCCGCTAGAGCATCGCGGCAGCTAGAGTGACACTAGAGCATCACGGCCGCTAAAGCGCCGCTAGAGCATCGCGGCCGCTAGAGCGCCGCTAGAGCATCGCGGCCGCTACAGCGCCGCTAGAGCTCGCGGTCGCTAGAGCGCCGCTAGAGCATCGCGGCCGCTAGAGCGCCGCTAGAGCATCGCGGCCGCTAGAGCGCCGCTAGAGCATCGCGGCCGCTAGAGCGCCGCTAGAGCATCGCGGTCGCTAGAGCGCCGCTAGAGCATCGCGGCCGCTAGAGCGCCGCTAGAGCATCGCGGCCGCTAGGGCATCGCGGCAGCCAGAGAGTGCCATGCCCAGATTGGCCGGGTCATCCACGTCCAGCGTGACGGCCGCTGTCCGTCCCAGCGCGCGCAAAAACCTCTCGACGGACGTTCACGCCCCCGCGATCGTCGCCCGCCAATCCGGCCAAACGCCGCCAACGACCGGGGCGTGTCTCGCCGCGACCGACGGCAAAAACGGCGCCAGCGGCCGGCGCGTGGCGCGCGAGCCTTGCTGGCGCGCCGGCCGGCCGGCCCCGGGGGACGAGCGTCGACATCGACCCTCGCCGGCCCGAGGAGCGGCGTCGGCGCATCGTCGGGTGCCGGGCGGGCCGGCGCGGGCGCGTGACCCCGCTTTCGGCAGCCAGACCCGGACGCGGGGTAGAGGGGGAGGGGTGGAAGGCGAGGCTGATCACTTGCGCGAGCAAGTTCGTCACGAATTGGCGAGATAGACGCCCCCGGTGTTATGACGAGGCGCTGCTTTATTTGCCGCTGTGCTTTATAAGACGGTATCCGTTATTAGCGAAAGCTGCCTGTGCCAGAGCACACGTTCCTTGTCCTCAATTAACCAGCATCATGGTATTCGTGACACTTCTGCCAGGCACAAGAACCTTTTTTATTGTGTTATGTTCCATGCCGTTTCATTTTCCGCACTATCTTGCGAGCAACATCGCTAACTGTGAAGCGGCCAGAGAATTCTGGCTGATTACAGCTGGAACAGTTGGACAAAAAACAGCGCTACACATTCTTCTCTCTTCCCAGCTAGAAAGGGTCTCAACAGCCTTTTTGCTCGTACGTGAAGTGAATGCAACCTTCGCCCATTCGTCATCTTTTCTGCACTTTTCGATAACGAATTTGATTACTCGACCTACCCATAATGACAACCGGTCGAATCGTGTCAAAATACCACACGCTGTTTGGTGACATGGGCATCACCATGCCTCTCATGTTCTGTGCTGTCTACGCCCCACAGCATTAAACACGCTTATCAGCCAGCGATCCCGACACACGCACACAGGCGGACAACCCATGTATAGTTCGCTAATAACCGTGCGCTTCAGGACAACACAGTAGCAAACAAATGGATTTATTTCTGATTACTAATCGCTATTAGATTACTTGATAAACGCTTGGAACGACTAGGGCAGCCAGGCATGTGGAGGTGTCCGTTGCGGAGATAGCGAGTCAGTCCCCGCATTGTCTTAACGTTGAAACGGCACGCGGTTAATCGACTACTGACTAGCAAGAGCACCGCACCGCAACCGTCCATGCAGCCAACGACGTGACGTGTCCCATCACCCAGAAACCAAACCACGCGTGAGTGGGTGCGTGACGTGTGCGTGACGTCGGCGTGACGTCGGCGTGACGTCCCTGCGACGGCGGTTTAGTTCAGAGCACGGTCCCGGCATGCGGTGGTGGGAAAGAAAGGCACACACTCACGCGTACATTGCTGGATAGCGGACGCCGGCGGCAGAAGCGAGGGCGAGCCCTGGAACGGAGAGGAGGCGCCGGTCATATCCGAATACGCCTGCATACAGCGCACAGCACGGACGGCACAGCACGGACGGCACAGCACGGACGGCACAGCACGGGCGGCACAGCACGGGCGGCTACAACAGCGCCAACTTGTACGCGATGGTGCGGCAGCCAGATCCTTCCGATGCGTCAGCAGCGGGGAAAACTTCTCCCAGCCTCAAAAGTGGTGCGGTCATACACCAGCGTACAATAAAGCAGACGGCGGTTCACTGTTCCGATTTGTGGCGCCGCTGTTTGTCGATGAAATAACTGGGAAAAACTCCTCCCAGCCTCAAAAGTAGTGCAGTCATATACTAGCGTGCAATGAAGCGGATGGCAATTCACTGTCCCGATTTGTGGCGCCGCTGTTTGTCGATGAAATAACTGGGAAAAAACTCCTCCCAGCCTCAAAAGTAGTGCAGTCATATACTAGCGTGCAATGAAGCGGATGACAATTCGCTGTCCCGATTTGTGACGTCGCTGTTTGTCGGTGAAATGACCATCAGGGACAAATCAAAGGACCAAGTCCATCGGCCGACTGACTGGCGGTAATTTGCTCCACAAATGACAGCGTGGCCGTCAGAGCCTGTATCAGTGCCACTTTTCGCATCGGGACACGGCTTGCCATTTGTGCAATCGCCCGCTGCAGAGGGCGTCCTTAGTACCAATTACGGCCGGTTTAGTGCAATCGATGTAATGGGTCCTGGGTGGGAGTAATGAGCGCATAAAAACGCGGCGCTAAAGCCAGAGCCGTGCCAAAGCCAGCCCACGGCCAGATGGCACGTGCTGATTGGCTGTTGTTCCCGGGCGGCCGTGGCGGCGGCGGCGGCGGCGACGACGGTTGGCTCGAGATGGCCGCGCTTCCGTGCCAAGACCCACGTGATGGTCCCCCCCCCCCCCCCACCCGCTCCCTCTTTGCGAAATATCTCTGAGCCTGTCTTTCTGCGCTGGGCAGCACCTGCTGCTACTGAGATGAGGGCGGGAGAGGCTGAGGTGAAGAGCCACCGACGATAGAGACGAAACTCCTGGGTAACCACGCGGCGTACCGCCTGTCCTGCTGCGCACGGCAGGAGCGCGCCAACTAGTGAGGAGACAGCTCTCTATTGGCGTCCTTCTCTTTAGATGCACCACCAGACAACATTCCGTTGGTGTTGTACTTTCAGGCACGCCACGCAGGGCATCCCACCACTGCCACAGCCAGGGCACGATAAGCCGGCCGGCCGGACATCGCGGCGACCGGCCGACCAAAGCCGCCGGCATTTGCGTGCGCAGAGTAATTACTTCCGGGTGGACCGTAATCGGTGTGGGGTTTGCCACTATCCTTTAAGTCTCCTTAGCGACGTGGTTGTTTACAGCGCTGATGTATGGCGCGATATTTCACCTGGAATTGCCAATGCTAGCCAACGGTTCTACAGAAGCGCAGCAAGCGAGCGTTGTGCTGAAGAAGTGCGGGAGTCATGTGACCTGATTGCTCAAGCATGGGCCTGTGCACACAAGTGTTAGGGCGGATTTACATGACTTAAAGCCAGGCGTAGTTTCATGGGCAAAACGATCGTTTTCAGTCTAAAACAGGACTCAATGCCGTTGATGTAATTGGACTCGTAGGATTCGTCGTTGCCGTTGAGCTCGTGACCGATGAAGCCAAAAAAAAAACGCATCAAGAAAAGACACCGCGCTTTGCGAAATCGAACGTACCAATAAAACTAGATTTGACCGTCATTCAACACAACACAAACTAGACTATTTGCGTCAAAATTTTGAGCACTTGCATTTTGGCGCAGTTACAAACATTCGCTTATCCTTTCGATCACATTTAACCATCTGACGGAATTTATTTGTAGTAGTTGCCAATCCGTCAAACACTTCTGCTCTCGGAAGGCTGGCAATCTGAACTAGCTGAACTAGCAGCTCCTGTCGCGAGCGAAATTGGCAGAGCTGAACCAGGCGGCGCGATCATCGACCCCAAGTTGTGATCAACAACAATCCATGTTGACCCATATTTTGACACATCAACACTTCAGGAGATTAAGATCGCGGACCCCTGCCCAGATCAAAGCTTGGCCAGACACCCGAATCGCGATCAAAGCCTGGCCCGACACCCAAACTGCGATCAAAGCCCATTCGCCTCCACGATGCGCCCCTGACGCCACCACCGACATTTCACACGCTCCGCCGACTATATCCATCCCGACTAACTTTACCCCATCCCCATCCCCATCCCCATCCCCATCCCCATCCCCATGTCACCCGCCCCTGAGCGCACATACCCACCGCGCTCGGGCGTTCCGGCCATACCTCCAGACGAGCGATGCCGGGGGTGATGACCGCTCACATCCCCCCCCCCCCCTCCCCCTGCATCGCAGGAGCGCGGTGTATGCGGGCGCGGCGGCGCGCGCGGTCGCTGCCGCCGCCGGCGGAGCGCGCCGGCAGGCCGCGCGCGCCGCCTTCCGCTGCGCACTATCCGCACGAGCCATTCTTGGCGCGCGCTCAAGAAAAGCGGTGGCGAACGCGGCGCGCCGCTGGCGGCCGCTGAGAGCTCGCGCTCAGCTGTTTGACAGGCGGCGCTGTCTTCTCGGCGCGCCACAGTTGTCTCAGCGGCTGGCACGTGTCCGCCGGGGAATGGGGAGGGCAGAGATGGTCTGATGCAGGTGACTATCGCATGGATCCAGGAGGGGTGCAGAGACGGTCTGGTGCGGGTGACTATCGCACAGATCCAACAGGGTTGCAGAGACCGTCTAGTGCGGGTGACTATCGCATGGATTCAAGATGGGTGCAGATACGGTCTGGTGCGGGTGACTACCACATGGATCCAGGAGGGGTGCAGAGAGACAGTCTGGTGCGGGTGACAATCGAATGGATTCAGGAAGGGTGCAGAGACGGTCTGGTGCGGGTGACTAACCACATGGATCCAGGAGGGGTGCAGAGAAAGTCTGATGCAGGTGACTATCGCATGGATCCAGGATGGGTGCAGAGACGGTCTGGTGCGGGTGACTATCGCATAGATCCAACAGGGTTGCAGAGACGCGTCTAGTGCGGGTGACTATCGCATGGATTCAGGAAGGGTTGCAGAGACGGTCTGGTGCGGGTGACTACCACATGGATCCAGGAGGAGTGTAGAGACAGTCTGATGCGGGTGACTATCGCATGGATCCAGGAGAGGTGGATGGCTGGTTTGCGCCAGTGAGTGCCCGACTGACCTTATGAACTGCCTGTTTGGGATGTCCAGGATTGCGTCCAAACAACGTTAGGCCAAGAAAGTGTTTCCCGACTACCTTCAAAGTCGAAGCATTAGCGCCTACGCTTTCTGTGTTGGGAGTTGGTGTGGGATTGTTTAGAGCCCTCTTCCCCGAAAATCGCGCGGGAGTGGCATGTCCTCTCCCGGGGGGTGGCAGATTTAATGAGACAGACTCCATGCTAGATAGGTGCTGAACAAAGCATTGGTGACGCCTGCTGTAGCAACACTGGACTGTTTCAAAGAATTCGACAGCCATGCAGAGAACATTGAAACATGGACAGTATACCCCTGAGCGATCTCAAATGTGGGTTCGAGGGAGTAACAGGTCAGCCCACTTGTATTTGGGCGGCATCACTCGGATGAAATCATCACTTGGATCATCATTTGGATGAAAAAAAGCAGGCGGCAGTGCGACCGGAGCGGCGGCAAACGCCTTAGATGCAGCCGGATGATGGAGCGGCTGGAGATGGTTGACCTCAAGAAAGAGTTCGTTATGAAATCAGATTTTGTGTTGAGTATACACTTATCGTGACTGACTGCACCATTAAGAAAGTGCTTGTTGGTGACCAAACATTTTCAACCACTGGTGGAGGACCTGGCCTTCCAGTCATTGAGAATGTAGTACCTTTCATGATGTCTGGCATACTTTAGGTGTATTATTTTCCCATTGAAACCGCCCATTTCAGCGGCCTTCCTATGCTAAATGTTCTTGGCATTCTCTACTCTGCGCACAAAAATGACAACTTCCCTAAGTTTTTAATCCCGTCTGGAAAGTCCTCACCTCACCAAAAAGACCCATTCGGTAAACCTATCTTTGTTACTAGACATAACTGACCGCTTTAGAAGCCCCCGCATTAAACGGACGATGTTGCTACAACTCGGTCCACCACAGACGCGCAAGTCGCAGAAGTCCCTGTTACACAGCAATGGGCCTCAAATCCATTACGTTCACGTTATATTGAGCGCGTAGCAAGAGTATCTGAACCTGATGAAGGTAAGCAAAAATGTGGAATGGTAGGTACAGTAAGTGGAAGGCAAGCGTCCTTTGGCGCATGGAAGGTACTGTGATATAGATGGAATGAATGCCACACGACCTATTCCGTCGGGAAGACATGGAGTCGAGGCCCACAAGAACCGCGCCGAAAGGAAGTGTGGCACTGGCGTACGGGAGAAGCTTGGCCGAGGAGTGAAAATGGATCAAAGGATTGCCCCCCCCCCCACACCCCACCCTAATACGAAGCAGTTGGACGCCCCTGGTGGTCAGAGAAGAGCGCCTGTGACAATCCCAGACCTCCAACGAGCCAATAAATTTATATTGTTGCCACCAGTCCATCTTGAGAAGATTACGCGCACCCTGATGAATGGACCATGGGTTAGCACAAGCGTCTATGGCCCAAAATGGAGCTGGGATCAGCCAGCCGGAGCTGGGCTTGGCTTGATCTCAGCGGCGTGCGGAATTGTCATAA